GGAGTGGGTTGGGGTTGGGGTGGGGTCAGGTCCTGTGGAGGGACCACACATGTTTGATGCCTGCCGCCCCATCCAAAGATCAGGGTTGCAGGGAAATGCTTCTCTCAACCCATCACAGCATCACAGTTGAGGGCTGGATGGCTATGGGCATTGTGACCTGTGTTCTATCTCCTAGGCCCCTCCATTTCTCTAACCCCTGGGGACACCCCTGTCCGAAAGAAAGAAGAATCTCTTTTTGATGATGAGGATGACCTCATGGCCACCCTGGGGTTTGGAGATAGCCCCAAAGCAGAGAAGAGGCAGACAGGAGACCAGTAAGCATCCTTAAGAGGGGAGAGTCCCTGGCCAGGCTGCTGCTTCAAGTCTGGGGAGAAGCCAGGGGGTGGATATAGAATGGGCCCCAGGAGCCCCTCGTATTCATATGTAGCAGCCCTGTGTCCTGTCCTACAGGGAAGCGCCCCGCCCTGCTCGCTCCAAGCTGGATGAGCTGCTGGGCCGAGGCACTGCCGCCAAACACCTGGCTCGTCTGGGCACTGGCGAGCACCTAGACTTCAAGCTGGACAGGAAGTACCGGAGGCCACAGGGTGAGGGAGCTTGCGGGGTAGGGAGGGGGGTGGGAATGAATCCCCAGAGCAGGTTTCTACCACAACCCATAATAAGAACTAAGCTTTACATCATGATGCACACACAGTGCACGTTTATAACCGAGACAATAATTACCATGTTCCATACTGCTGCTTTTTATTTACATGCTATTTGATTTATAAATACATTGGTTGCAACACATTAAGTTGGTGTCTCCATCTGCTAATAGGTAGCAACTCGCAGTGTGAAAGCCACTGCCGTGTTTCTCGGTGTCGGTCCAGGGCCATCTGTGGACTTGTTCTTGTCACACGCAGCTCATGGCCACCCCAAAGGGTGCTGGGCAGGGCCCACTAGTGCATTTTAGCAGCTCCCCAAGGATCTCTGAGTGCTGGGGTTGGAGACATGGGGCTGACACCCAGCCCCCGCCCGCCTCTTCCAGAGCAGCTTCGCCTGCCCACGCTTCACACACCATGCTGCCTGTTCAGCTGTCTCTAAACAGCTCTGTAGCCACGACAGGGTTCGACTCCCCTACCCTGGATCACAGGCTCCTTCATCCACAGACAAAGAAGATCCCTGGGGCAATGAGGGCTTCACCTTTGGGGCCTATCAGCCCACCGTGGCCTCCTCTGAGGGCCGGCAGTCCCGCCGGCAGGCAGGCAGGTAAGCAGGCCTACAGGGAGCTTGGCCTCCCACAGGCTGCCCACTGGAAACGGGTAGCCTCGCCCCATCCCACCGACAGTCCGGTTTGGAGGCCCCGCTGCGCAGGCTCTAGGCTCTGCAGTGCTGGAGGAAGAGAGGTTGCCCAGTCCCCCCTGTGTGGGCCAAGTTAGACTCCCCGGTTCCGCTCCCCGCCTCCTCGGAAGGGAGAGAATTATCTCAACTTGGGATTTTTCTCCCAGTATATATTTTAAACTCTATATTTTGAAATAATTTCAAACTGACAGGAAAGTTGTAACAAGAGTACAGAGAATTCCCTCCTGCCCTTCGCCGAGACGCAGCAGTTGTTAACATGCCATGTTGGCTGTATTGGCCTTTCTTTCTAAATAACCCCTGCACATGCCAATGCTTTCCAACCCCTGCTGCACCGGCCAGTAGGACATGGGCAGTGGCCGATAAAGGAACCGGTAGCAAGATGACTGTTGCCGGAAAACCACTTGATCCAGCTGATTTCCTCTGGACACATGTGCCTGTGGTTGTCCTTTGGTTCTGTTCACTGCACATGGAACTGTCCCCAGTTCACATGATGGGTTTCAAGATGTTTCAAGATGTCTTTTTCATGGTGTTTTACCAACAGTGCTCGCCGCCACTGCTCTGCCTCCTGAACTGGTGCAGGCGCTGTGTTTCCAGGGCTGGCTGTGCTGAGCCCGGGGAAACCGGGCCTCCTTGGTGTGGGCCTTGCAATCACACACCCCCCCCCCC